AATAATATGATACAGTACGTCTGGGTCTCTGTGTTTCATTAAAGCTCGACTCTGTGTGTGTGTGGAACGAGCCATTTTGTGTGTGTGTGCGCGAGAGAGCAAACCGGTACCGGAGATCGTTGTTGTTAGCTTCTGGTACTATCGAGCTACGCTAACGGATATAAGGAGTTTTTTCAACAACAAAGTGGAGGAGAGTCCTCTCCTGTCAGACTGAGAGACTCAGTGAGCTAAAGGACTCTCAGTGTTATCTCAGCGGGTCTCAAACGTTTTGGTCACCATTAATGTAAACAATTATTTCCGATGCCTCGGAAATAATTGTTTACATTAATGGTGACCAAAACGTTTGAGACCCGCTGAGATAACACTGAGAGTCCTTTAGCTCACTGAGTCTCTCAGTCTGACAGGNCAATGAAGGCTCGATAATCAGCTCATGGCATATAGGTGTAAGCAGGGGTAAAGTGCTATTTTTATAGGTGGTGTGTGGACCTCACATAGAGGGGTACGGGGGCAAGCTCCCCTGGGAAGATTTTTAAATATTGAAGTTGAAAGCATCAATCTGGTGCACTTTGAGAGCAAAATGAAGAGATCTATGGATACATCTCTCAACACCCATTTGAAACAGAACTGTCAACAGATTTACTTTTTCTTTATGGATATTTTACAAATCACCCTTTTAAACTTTATTCTTTTTTTACTGTCATATAGTATTTCATACCTGTTTTTAGTTTATTCTCTTATTTTTTTATAACTATAATGATCATATAAACGTGGGGCCTCGGAATTAATTGTTTACATTAATGGTGACCAAAACGTTTGAGACCCACTGAGAGAGTCCTTTAGTTCACTGAGCCTCTCAGTCTGACAGGAGAGGACTCTCCTCCACTTTGTTGTTGAAAAAACTCCTTATATCCGTTAGCATAGCTCGCTAGCACCAGAAGCTAACAACAACGATCTCCGGTACCGGTGCGCTCTCTCTCTCTCGCTCGCGCACGCACACAAAATGGCTCGTTCCACACACACACAGAGTCGAGCTTTAATGAAACACAGAGACCCAGACGTAATAGTACTGTATCATATTATTTTCGAATCAATAATTTTTCAAAATATGATTTCTTTTTTTTTTTTTATCTTTTTGCCCCACTTTGAGAACCACTGGGCTACGGGAACACTGTTTTCCAATAGATTAGTAAAACAATTGAAATCCTTCAGACTATGTCTTCTTATAAGACTACTTTTAGCAAAGACAGGTACAAACAAAACCATGATTTCATATATTTTATCATAGTTTAAAAGACGTGCCTTCATTAATCAATGTTAGCCATTGTTTTGTCCTTATCCAGTGGATAAAGGAAGGTCTTATAAATGATGACCAGGAGATTTGTCTGGTACATCCATTTGTCTCCTGGAAAGAATTACGGCAGATTAAAACCAAACACTCAGGACCTGGATGAGCAACACACCATTTGTAATTAAGTCCCATAATTTACCAGAAAGAAGCTTCACCCAAGATACAGGTGTGTGTGTGTGTGTGTGTGTGTGTGTGTGTGTGTGTGTGTGTGTGTGTGTGTGTGTGTGTGTGCGTGCTCACCGATGAGTAGAGGTGACCCTCTCCGTTCATGGCGATGTAGAGGCCGGTCTTCACTGATTGGATGGCCACGACTCTCAGACCCACAGGAATTAAGTTAAACAGAGCTGAGGACAGAAACAGAGACACTGAGTTACCAGCCGCGTGTTTCTCTTCTTCCTCCTCCTCCTCTTCCTCTTCTTCCCCCGGTGCTCTGGGGACTCAGATGTCAGCCGGTCTGCTGCTCAGTTAGTTCAGAGTGAGGTGAAGAAGCGTCTCGGCCTTGAGGGGCTCACTGCGGGGCTTTTAAACTAAGAGGCCTGCAGAACATTGATTCTCCTTGATATCCATCCTGTGCCGTGATACTCTGTCTCAAAGCTGTATAGTTTACCATTCAGGTTTTCTATGTAAAAAGAAAATATAAAAATAAATACATGCATTATTCGTCATAGAGTCCAAGTATTGAAAAATACATATTCTTGGTAAACAAATCCCTGTTTGTAACTGAGGAGCATCCTGAAACCGTAACATCAGTTATTAACGGGAAAGAACAGGAAAATGTTCCGGCATCAGCTCCGTTGTGTATTATACATCTTTTCCGTCATTTCTTCATAACATTTTAATATCAGCCTTTTCGAGAGTCCTTTTTCTCGAAGGCACAGTGCTCTCAGCGTCAGGGGGTCGGTGTTATTTGAAGAAGACGGTAAAGGAACAGACGGCCGAACACACCCTTATAGCCTCGGGCAGATATTTGAAAGGACAATGATCGTGTCACGGGTGTTTCCACTCACTTCCTGCAAACCATTACGGTCTTGTATCTTTTTAATTTGTTGTGCTCATGAGATATTAAATACATATGGAATCGGATTGCTTAAAAGACATTTACCTTAATAGATTAACATTCAATTAACAAATGAGCAAATACTCCAATATCATTAATAAACCCGTTCAGCTTGCAAGATGTTGGGGAGTTGCTACTCTTATATTTCCATTGTGATACTGTCTCCAGGTATTTTCCCATGTGAAATATATTTTGACATTTCAAGGTTTTTGAATATATTCTTAAATATTTCTTCTGAGGTCAAAGACCTTTTGACCCGCGTGGCTCTTTAATTTAATTTCAGACTTATTGGTTATCCCGCTGGCAGCACAAACAGTCAAATTGTTTTGACAGAAACAAAGTCAAAATAAATTGAAGTTGTATTTTGCAACCATTTAGGATGTGGGTACACAATTTGAAGGAAAACTCAGACATAATGTTTCAAGAAATTTCCCAAGGTAATTTGACCAGTTTCCTCTTTGTTAAATACGGCAGCATCCAACAAGGACACGATACATCTCTGATAAACATGTGGAGTAAACTGAGGACGGGTTGAAGTGGAATCTGAATCCATTAAAAACATGTTTCTTTGTCCTGAGCCACATGCCACAGCATTTAAAACCGACGCTGGTTTCCAAAGCATTTAAGGGGTGTTTTCATTCATTATTCATGGTGCTATTTTTTTTCACTCGGTGGTTGCAGCCTGTGGCTAAAGTTAATTGTTTCATGTTGTGAGTGTGATGCCTGGTAAAAGCTGAACTGTTGCATTTTCAGTAAGTGCTGACGGATGAGGGGATTCAACGCTTTCATTTGCCCGGCTTTTGTAATATCTGTCTGGTTCCTGCGTCCCCCCTATACAATGGAGATGAGTGGGGTTTTGTTAGTGCTGCTCAAAATATTTATAAAATGTGTCTTTTCTAAAACACTCTGATTTATACTTGACAAAAGTTTGACAAGTTTGGGTGTTTATTTTGCAAGTGTACATGATTTTGTTTACTTATAAGGAGTAAAATATTCCTGAACGGCATTTAAACTTATTTACTGCATACTTGTACAGTTAAACATATTTCTTTGTCTGATTTGTTGCCGTCTGACTGAATTCAAGTAAAGATGTTAATTTTAATAAGTTAAACAAATTTGAACAGACTTCATTTATCTGTGTAATTGACATTATAAAATCCTAACATGACAATGACCTGAAATGAAGGCCGTGAAATGGACGCGCTTGTTTTTCTTCCAATCAAGGGCTGATTACACTTGGGATATTACAGCCGTCATTAATCAAGGTTACATACAAAAATGGTCTCTAACAAGCAACGAGCGGAAGGAATTGAAATGTACACCTGCGAGTAATCATCCTGGATAAATATCACGCTCATGCACAGGCGTCATTATCATAAAGATATGCACCCATCTGATTAGAGATGGCAACCACCCTGCTTTTAAATGCAGCAGGAAATGTCACTGAACACGGCTCAGGCAGGAAAACAAATGGAAAATGACGCTTGGCAACAAGTGTGAGCGGCAGTAAAATTTGATTTGATCGACACGCCATTCGAAGTGGAAACAGTTGCCAAAAAATAATCAAATCATAGTAAACAAGTGGGACATTGAGACACCAGCTCAGCCAATGTGGAGTGATTACTGATCAGCGTTTTGATTTTCCCTCAGCCTAGCACATCAGAATATAGCAACGGCTCCAGTCATCAATAAGCCATCCATCTGTAACCACTCCCCGAGGGCAGTGCCGGGTGCAGAGGTCAAACAGACTGAAAAACAACATCTTCTGAGCAGCCACTTGTTGCTTTAAGCCAAACAGTTGGTGAAAACACGCTGTGTGCACAACAACAAGATAACAAGCTCCATCAGTGTCTCTTTATGACTGCATATACTGTGAGTTTCAATCGACACCAACAACTGTGGCTCATTTAGCTCAATATGCTTGAATGTTAGATGCTGCAGAGGGACAATGTGTTGACCCTACTTTAAGCTTTTCATTAACGCTACAATAATTAGGGTTAATTGGATCTTTCCTGCTGGGCTCTCTGCAGAAGATAGAAGAAGCGCTCTCAGACGTTCATTAAATCAAATGACGAGACGGTCATCTCTAAATAACTGTTTGCCCTTGAAAGAGCCTCTCTGTCACGGCTTTTTCTTTTGCCTTGATGACATTTGAGTTTTGAAGGTCTTTCACTTCAGTATTTTATATTAAAGGTCCCATGTCATGCTTTTCCGGTTATTACCCGTCCCCTTGTGTGTTATGAAGGTTTGTCTGCATGTAAACGGTCTGCAGAGTCAAAACCCTCAAAGTACACCCTGTAGGGAGTAAAACTCTAACACAGAGAAGACCTGTCTATGCTGCCCCAGAACGCCTCGTTGGACATTTCTCTTTTTCTTCCTGGGTACAGTGACGTGCCCATACCCAAATGGACCAATCCGTGGAGCCGTTACGTTACGTCCGCGGAGCCGTTAGGTTCCTCACACACACACACTCAATCTTTTCTCAGATTGTGAGCACACACACAAACTCCCAGCCAGGCTGCGGGTGGTGTGTGTGTGTGTGTGTGTTCGGGCTGGGTTTCGCTGTGTCTCGCAGACGGCCACTGGGCTCACAGGGAGGGGGGGGCAGGAGCTCCAACAAGCCGTTTAGGACAGAGAGTGAATACACATACTATACAGAGATGCTGTTTGAGAAACCAATGTGATTCTCATGGCCACAGTGAGCAAGTGAGAGAGCTTGTACAATTTTAACCCCTAAGGGTTAGAACGATTTGGACGTCCGGTGGTTCTGTTTAGGAGACTACAAGAAGTGTCTCCCTCTCTTACCCCAACACCAGGTACATTTCGCCCGTATACAAATTAGTCACACGGATTGCACGCTGTTACACGACGATAGACGGTCGGGTTGTACTCTACTGGTCTTTTGGTACCCCCCTTGTCGGACGAACGATGGCAACGTTGTGAATAGGCATGTATTAGAACTCCGCACCACGACCACCCGGTTCAAGGTCAGGCCGGAAGAGGTAGAAACATAGATCCACGAGCCTCAGAAACAGGACCGGCGAAGGGAAGGTGCTGTGACACATCAAAGTTAGTAAGAAGAAATTGCAGTCAGTAAAAAATAAAACTACTTGGCCACTCTACCGTCTTCGGACTAACGACAAATTAGTCTCGTTACGACCTAATCCGGTACTCGTACGGGGGTGCGCTGGCCGGAGCCGTGATTGAGGCGACTCGTTAGAGAGCGCACGGCGGAGAGAGGCGCGGCGGGCGCGCGGCGCGCGGGGGGGGGGGGGCGGAGAGGACGACAAACGGTTTTATTTAGCAAACTTCAGTTGTTGCTCATGTACGCCCAATCAAAGATTGACTTATCCTTCCATATGTCCATCCTCTTTGGCTCGTAACTAAATTATTCCTTAGTACTGGGTATCTCGTTTTTTTATGCAATAGAAAGGCTATCTATTTCTCGTATTTGTCAACTCACCTTTTGGTAATGCTCGTGTATTGTGGTAGTTTCGCAGTTTTTATTGCAATGTCGCAGTAGAGTTCAACCTTGTTAGCTTGGTGGTTCTTCGTCCTAATCAGATCTTAGGACATTACCTACCTACGGACGGGACTGACGCAGACGACGCGTCCTTTAGGCGGGGGATCGTCTACGTAGTCGCAGCGTCAGCGCAGTGTAACAAAACTTTTAGCACCGATAGAGTTTACGGACAGGGTGGTCCTGAACGCTGACTTCATACCAAATCTATTGTAGTAAAGCAAAAAATGGAACGTAAAACGGAGCTAGGATTTCTAGAAAAGGGTGAAGTGAAGAAGGGACACACACACACGAGCACGACGACGGTCCGACACACACACCACGACACGACACACACATCCTACGACTACTACGACACACACACACACACACACTACACACACACACACACACACACGACGACGGACACACGACACACACACCGACCAAATACCAACACACACGACACACACACACACGACGACAACGACACACACACACACACACGACGACACACCACACACACACACGACCACCGACGACGACACCAAACGACACATCTTGGTGTCCGACTTCCCCGTAACCGACGTGGTCCAGACAAGACGTCTTTCCCGACAGCATAGATGTCCTCCGCGGTCCTACCTTCCAATACCTACCCTGTTCTGCTGTCGTGGTTGTGGACACTCACTTGTGTGTGTCCCTTAACTTTATGTGTGTACTGACGTTTTGTATACTTATCAACCACTTTCACGTAAACAACTCCGTTTGACATTTTGTATAAACGTCAAACTAAACGGTCCCTCAAGTACATAGGTGTGTCTTATAGACGACATTGATTGAAACCACCTTGTGAACATTGTAACACCTGATGAGACCGTGATTACATGTCCGGTCACGTTGTTTAGCGAATTTTCCAGGGATACAGTACCGTGAAAGATGACTAGCTATAAGGCAACAAACTCCGAGATGATCTTATCTAAAGTTACACGTAAAAGGTT